TACTAGGTGTCATTGAAAAGATGTTTATCACAGCCAGATGAATTAAAACACATGTTATGTGTATATAATCCATAATTAATCACCATGCCACATCGGGCATTGCTGTGCCAGCATCAGTACCTGTCAAATGTGAGACAAGTGCACTCTCTTTAAATGCACATCACTCAAGTGAACTGGGAGTATGTTATTCTGCTTTACAATAGTGCCTTACAATACAACATTTGTCTTTTTTGGTCACTTTTACATTCATAATTGTAAACAGTCAATATTGAAAACACATTTGCTTTGGTTAGAACTGAATTTGACCGCATTAAAACAGAGAAAGGAATGAAGGGAATTACAGTAAGGAAAATGGTTGATTATGGCAAAGTTGTGAATCCCAAATCATCAGTGTGATATAATTTAAGTGTTGATTTAAATATTTATCATATATTACACTTTTATCTAATACATGCAAACTACTGTTCAAAAGTTTGGGGTCTGTGAGATGTTTGTTATGTTTTTAAAAGAAATCTCTTATGCTCACCAAGACTGCATTAATTTGGTACAGTAAAAACAGTATTGAGATAATAATATTAATAAGATCATAATAAAATAATAATAATAATAATAATAATGAGAACATTACAATTTAAAATATTTTTAAATATAATTATTCATAATAATAATACATTTGAATAGTAATTTAATCCTGTGATGGAAAAGCTGAATTTTCAGTGTCAAATGATCCTTCAGAAATCATTTTAATATGCTGATTTGGTGCTAAAGTAACATTGTTGTTGTTGTTGTTATTAGTGGCCAAGCACCGAAGGTGCGATGGCACCTATTGTATCCGTTGGCGTTCTTTTGCGTCTATGGCAGCCCATAGAACCGTTTGCGGGAAAGTTGTGAAATTTGGCATACTGATAGAGGACAGTCCCAACATTAACCATAGCAAATTTGGAGTTTCACTCATGTTTATGCTAATAACTTTTGAACTGTAAGGCACAGAAGGAAAATTCCTCTGAATCCTTGGCTTATGCCAAGTCGAATAGACACCAAAATGAAAAAATAGTAAGGTTTAGTTTTTTTGCTATTTTTAATTGTTCATAAAACCTACTTTTTCGAACTCTGTTTGTCTGATTTTCACCAAAATTGGGTCAGATCATCTTCAGACCATGCTGGCAAAAAGTTATGGAATTCAAGTTGATTCGTCCAACCGTTCTCGAATAACGCACGAATGAATTCTACGAAAAGCATGCAAAAATGGATCTGAGGCTATATCTCTGCAACGGTTTGGCGTATTGAGAGCAAACTTGGTGTGTTTTTATAACAAGCATGACCTGAGCCTACCTGCAGTGTTTCGGTGTTTCATATTTTGCTTATAACTTCTGAATGGTTTGGCCAAAAATCACAAAACTGGTCTCTTTAGATTCGAGTCGAATGATATCCAATTTTCCTATGTCAGCCATTTTTGGGCGTCGGCCATTTTGAATTTTGTATTAAAATGCTATATTTTACCAACGCATTGACGTATCATTACGAAACTTGGTATGGGTCATCAGCACAATGCCCTGAAGGAGCCTGAGAAGTTTCGAGCCAGCGCCACCTAGTGGTAAAATGAAATATTCACATGCTTATAACTTTGGGTATTTTTTTAGACTCCTGAAACCTTGCCGAGTCCAGCGATACCAAACATGCCAGGTTTTGTCTTATGGTTTGTGCAACGTTGTATTTTAGGGCTTAAAAAACATTTGCCAATATCTTAGAAACCGTTACTCCGATCGACACGAAACCACCATAGGAAATTCGAAAACATAGCGTGCCGGCTATATGCAAATGCCCAATTGCCAAAATTTTGATAGTAAGTGGCAAATAAATGCAAACAAAGTCGGCAATCAGTCATTTTTTCTGTTCTCATATATAAAAATGTCTATAACTCCAAAACAAAATTAGATATTTTCACCAAATTTGACACGCATATGTATAGGCACACTCTAAGGACGCATAATTTGGTGGGATTGTGCCTCTTGATGGCGCTATAATTGAACAAAACATGAAACTGCCATTGACTACAATCGATTATTATGATATAAAATGCTATATTTTACGAATGCATTGGTGTACCATTACGAAGCTTTGTATGTACCATTGAGACCATGACCTGAAAGTACTCAACAAGTTTTGAGACAGTGCCACCTTGTGGTCAAAAGTTATAATGAAATTTCAAATAAATGCTAATAGCGTTCTGTGAATTTTGCCTATTGTAATGAGACTTGTATTAATATATTCCTTGGGTCATGCTGAGAACAGTGATACCAATGTTGCCATAGTCAGCCAAACTTCCTTGTCCGCCATTTTGATTTTCTTTAAAAACCTAATATTTCGAACTCCTCCTAGACCGTTGGTCCGATTTTCGCTAAAATCGAATCATATCATCTTCAGACCATGCTGACAAAAATGTATGGATTTTGTGTTGATAGACAAAACCGTTTTCACATACCAAAGCAACGAATTTGAGGCGTGATGCCAAAATGTCACTTGAGGCTGTATATCTGCAATGCTTTGGCATATTGACACCAAACTTTGTGTGTGCCATTGCCAACTCACACAGAACACACCACATCGATATAATAACAGCGCCACCTATTGGTCAAATGTGATAAGCCAATAAATGATGTTACTAGAGGTTATATTTATGATTTTTCAGCTGTTTTGACTAAAATCATCCTGAAATGGCTTCAATTACTCATTTCTGCAGTTGGTCCGATGCTTGCTTCTGTAGTGCTTGGCCCCACAATTTATTTGGCCCCGCAGCTACATTTATTATTATTGCTATTGTTATTGTAGGGTTAGGTTTTAATTATTATTAATTATTTTATTATTAATGTAACAAAGAGTGAAAAATTTAAGGGGGTCTGAATACTTTCCGTACCCACTGTATATATATATATATATATATCCTAATATATATATATATATCCTAATATATATTAGGATTATTCGATTAATATAAAGTTTAAAAGAACAGCATTTATTCAAAATAAAAATCTTTTGTAGACTATACATTTCTTTACTATCACTTTTGATCAATGTAATGCATCCTTGCTGAATATAAGTATCTATTTCTCATAAGCAACAAAATAAACAGTAGTGTATGTGGCTATTTGGATGCTTATCTCATGTTATGGATTATATTTTTATTTTACTGTGTAACTGTTTAAGGCGAGACACTGCAGGTGAATAGGTTAAAAAAACAAAACTAATAGTTATGGCCTTATTTACCCAGCTGATTGATTACATTGATAATTGCAAACATTTTTTGTATTACAAGTTTTCTAAAAAGTTAGATTTAAATATGCAAATGAGTCATTATTTAATGAAATATGCGCTAATTTGCATACATTTCTAGTACACAAATCTAAACACTGGGTGATGTCAGTTTCAAAATTCTTGTTTAATTTTTTTGACATATTAGAGTCAAATGTTTTTACAGAGGAATTTTGGGTCTCTCATTTTTGTCACTCCATAATTCAGAAAATGCTTAGAACGGACAGAAAACACTATATTTTTACAATTTTGGGGGGAATAAAATGTTGTATATAATGAAGCAAATTATATATGAACAAATCCCTCTATAAAAACCTTCAGGATACAGACAGGAATATACATGTAAAGTTCGGTGTGTGTAAGTGCTACTGAAGTGGAGATTTATGGCTCAGTGTAGGAGAAAAAACTCATTTTGAGAAAACAGCCTTTAAAAATATGCATTGTAATTGAAATCTATTGACACAAATAGATAAAGTGCTATAAAAGAAACACATAACAGTGTCTTTTGGATGTTTCCTTTCCACTAGTCTGAAAAAAAAACACTTTATGAAAAACCAAAAAGCCCAAAATCTCAAACTTGACAGGTGCATGAAAAAACAGTGTTTTTGCCTGCAGTGTCTCCCCTTAACTTACACTAAAAATGTAATTTCATAAAACCCACGTGAAATATGAGTAAATAATTCAGTAGTTTCCCCTGCATATTTTACACAGTTTAGGTTATTTTTAATTTATAACAAAAGCAGTTTAACATTTTTTAAGTAAAATATAACAGGCCTTCTGTTAGATGAGTTAATTTGCTGCGCTTCCGCGTTTCGCCAGTAGATGTCGCCGATTCTCACGCAAACGCGCTCCCGGAGCTCATGGCGCTCTAAGTGGGAGGCGCTTATGTGAAGTAAACTATCAGCTGGGAGAGACCGGAGCAGCATTCGCTCGCGTCTCACTGTGCGGACAGCATCTGTCAACTCCCCGGACCAACTCATTACAGCGCACAAAGAGAGAGAAACACACCTGCTACTGATGCGAGAGGCCACAGCACACTTTACAGCGCCATGCGATGAAACAACCGCCAACGCGTGAGGAACAGCGTCCACATCTATGAAGAAGGATATATATATATATATATATATATATATATTCCATTTCAGTCCATATCATACGTTTTGCATTTCAATTTCAATTTAAATGTTAATAAAATAGTAAATATAGTAAATAGTAAATATAAACTTATTAAAAAAAATTGACTGATATGATATGAGCTGAAATTGACTAAGATATGGACTGAAATGCAAAAAAAATGGTTTTGCATATCAGTTATTATATTTGTATGTATACAGAATAAAGTATTGACTTTATATATACACTTTTTTCCATTTCAGTCCATATAGAATGTTTTGCATTTCAATTTATATTTAAATATATATTTTAAAAAGAATAATAAAAAAAAGACTGATATAAACATAATATTTATTTTGCATGCCAGTCCAGGGACCCCCTTCAGTACATTTTTTTTCTTGCAGACCCTTGAAAACCACTGTATAAGAGTTCAAACTAAACTCTGCTGGAAAGTAGATCTCCAGGAGCCCTGATTTGAGTTTTTTCCCATGCATGTCCTTATTGATTGGTACAATATCATAACGGAGTCTGATACAGTAGGAAGCTTTTGTTGAACCCGTAGGCTATTATGCGCACACTTTACAGCGCCATGCGATCAAACAACCGCCAACGCGTGAGGAACAGCGTCCACATCTGAGAAACAAGGACAGACGCCTGGCATCACTGGGCAACTCGATCTGGAGGTGAGGCTGGAGATGGTGACGGTGATGAGGATGATGTCGAGGTTGGCAACTGTACATTATTATTGCATGGAGCGCTATTATGTCACGTGCGCGTTCTGGTGGCAGATTGGTTTCGGTGAAGGTGTTCGCGTACGCCGTCCTCTTTTGCTGGATGTGGAAAAACTTCCTGCTGGGATTTAACAGCGAACGCTGGATTGGGTCACTTGGACCACACGGAAGATGCGTTTGTCCTGGATACTTCAAATAGTTGATTTGCCGTTTGGCCTGAGACGCTGGAGATCTACCTGCATGGAGAGTTTAGTTTCCACCCTTAAGTGAACCAAAACTCCATGGTTGCTTCTCCTAACCTAGCTAGACTGCCTTTAATTGTCAATATATGTGAATTCAAATCTTAAAAGCCCCAAAATGCTTTCTAGGTAGACGGCTGTCTAGGTTCGGAGACGCAACCATTGACCACCTGGGTCTGGTGTTTGTTTTCAGCAGGCACGGTCGATCTTTTTATTTAATTAAATTTTATTTATTTTCCATTTCAGTCCATATAGAATGTTTTGCATTTCAATTTATATTTAAATATATATTTTAAAAAGAATAATAAAAAAAAGACTGATATAAACATAATATTTATTTTGCATGCCAGTCCAGGGACCCCCTTCAGTACATTTTTTTTCTTGCAGACCCTTGAAAACCACTGTATAAGAGTTCAAACTAAACTCTGCTGGAAAGTAGATCTCCAGGAGCCCTGATTTGAGTTTTTTCCCATGCATGTCCTTATTGATTGGTACAATATCATAACGGAGTCTGATACAGTAGGAAGCTTTTGTTGAACCCGTAGGCTATTATGCATAGAGAAATACAGTGTTCTGATTGTTTTTTTTGCAGTAAGTACACAAATGCAATCTGAATTTATCCCTACCAGGCAACGTTACGGGACTATTACAGATAGCAAAATCGATTGCATGTGCAAATGATACAACAGTGCATTTGTAAGTGTGTTCAGTGTTATCTCAGAGGTCAGCTGTCTCTCAATATAAACATATTTCACACGTCACTACACACATAACACTCGACTCGTTTCCCCAGTGTCGTCGGGATAATCTGTGTCATGCCATGCATGTGTTCTCATGCACACGCAGAAGTGCGGATTCCGTCGCAACAGTCGTGGGGCTCAGTGGAATAGCAGTGCTGTCATGTTCGCAGACGCAGACATTGATAACATTGGCAAATGTATCAGGTTGCAGCTTGGAACATGCGCCGGATTAAAGGCTTACAATTTGGACGCTCTGAGCAGTCGCACACGTCACATCAATGTTTTGACACTTCCAGTAGTATGAATGATTGCAGAAATATGGCTGAATACTCTTAAGGTTGGACTTTGCTTAGTTATATTTTGGTGCACATTTGCACTGTGCCCAGGAAGTGTTGTGGTGCCGGTCATATTGTTCCGTCCTTCTCTTCTCAAAATCAATATGTTTTGTACAAAAGGAAGAACAAAGAATGAAAGGTTTTGCCTTGGCAGTGCTAATATGTTTTCAGAATAGAAGAATATTGGAGCAGGGATAGATTTCTGCAGCTTTCTTAAGACTGAGATGAGAATTTCTTTTCGAAAGCGAAGTGGTTTTTATTATTTTCAGGATACGGATACCTTCTGGGTATGTTGTTATGAGTGGAGAGGATCGGTACGGGAAGACTGGTACAGGTGAGGTCACGGTTATAAAGCTCATTGGATTTAATTTCACATTGAGTGCATGAATGCCAGATTTTTTGAGAGCCGAGGACAGATCACTTGGTGCCAGAGGCGTCGCTAGACACTTTTTACCTCTGTGCCCCAGTCAAATATTTCTGATGAATCCTAATGTCTCGATGAAGATTGCCATATGACAAATTGAGAATCATTGTCTCAAATTATATTTTATATTAAGTCGTGTGTTTTCTATCAGCTCTGATTTTGTAAGCTGTTTTTTAGTCTTAGATCTCAGTCAAATGTCTTTTTTAGTTTTTATCATATTTATTCAACAGAAATAGTTCGGGATTCAGTTTGATTCATTTGGACAGTTCACTTAAAGGCACAATATGTAAGATTTTTTTATTAAAATATCCAAAACCACTAGAACAGTGTTATATATTTTGCTGACTTGTGTACTTACATTATCCCAAATGTTTCGAAGAATGTTTAAATCCAGAGAAATAAGCTATTTTAACTAGTGACACGGACCGTGTCTATAGTGTCATTGTGTCGCCTGCCAATGACGTCATAACCCCTCGATTTCCAAGAAAACATGGAAACACCAAATACGCTTTAATATGTTGTGCGTTTGAATAGACCGGTGACGACCGCACAGAGTAGCATTATAACAGAACGTTCAAATGTATCTAGTATGATAAAACAGTGCTGCTTTACCCCACATACGCACGACCGGAAGGAGCGGAAGCAGTTGACTGTGGCATAATAAAAGCTCCGCTGCCTTCGAGCCGTGTGTCACGCTCATTCAGCGGCCTCGTTTCGCTTCGACGGCTTTCAGCCTCACCCTGCTTCATTCTACTACGTTAATAAATCATTAGCTCATCCATGAACATGATTTCTGCCCGAGTCCCGTCGGATTGCATCGGCTGTGGGGATGAAGACAACAACTCCCATGATTCCACACTCAGTCACGGCGTCATCAAACTACGCCTTTGTCTATTTGTTTATTTTGAATACGCGCCCTCTAGCGGCGAAAATTACATATTGTGCCTTTAAGCACGGAATCGTTTGCAGCGAAATAGTAACAAGATATTTTACTAGACAGAAAACAAATATTGGATGGTTTTCTGTTACTGGAGCACTGGATGGATGAGTTGGATATTTACCTACAATCCTTTGAAGGAAACAACTTGCAAATGTCTTCTATCTTTTGTCAACAATGAAGCAGCTATTTTTTTGTGTGTACAGCATGTGAATGACTCTGTAGTTCAGGTAAAGATGATTTATATTCATTTATATTCAAAACAGTATTATAAAAAGAGAAATGCCCCTGCCTGGCGCTACGTTGCATAATTTCCCACATCTTTTAGCATGGCTGTCTATTGTGATGCATTATCTATTCTGACCTCAGGCGAACTGCCTGGAAAATGTAGGTTAATGTTTATATAAAACAATCTGGCAGCAGTTCTGTGTCATGCATGTTTATAATCTAGAAATAAGAATGCTGAGGTGTTATTTTTAACATTTGAAGATGTACGCTAGTAGGGCTGCACGATAAACCTTTCAGATGGAGCAGCATTTACTTCACAGAGCCATAGTTCACTGAGAAGCTATGCAAACAGCTGTCATTATCGCGAATGATTTCTACGATTTCATAATCGCGCAATAAAATCGTCTGCGATGTTTGTTTTTTTTTGCGTAACTTGTCAGTAAACTACGGCTCTGTGTAGTAAATGCTGCTCCATCTGAAAACACGTGATGATGATTTACTGCTGATTACAGAACCGGCTTTACTAACAAAATGCGCATGACAATCGCATTCGATTAATCGTGCAGCCCTATACGCTAGTATGTTTTATTGATATGGCATTTGATTTGTTTATACAAAACATACAGTGAAGCTGAGTTTGAGAGCAGTGTTTGATTTCGTTCTTTGTCTATTTATGGTTGTGAATTGTGTAAAAGTAATGAAAGCAGATCCTAATTTAGAAGATGGAGGTTGTGTCAGTTTCTTGGCTGCAGTATTCTGGGTAACGTCTGTCATGTATGGCATTCGTCACGTTATTTTCATCTTGCGCCGCCAAGGCAAAATCTTTATTAATTAGTTAGGCTTGAGGTGTTGTTTGTGATTTGATAAATTACCTGTCTGCACTGAATGTTTTGTCGGGATTTTGCTAATGCCTGCTAAACCAAATGACAAAGTGTTCATCAAATAAATGAGGAGATGCAAATATTGTTGAATTTGGTGGCCAGTTACGCTGCTGCAGATGGAAAAGCAGGAGCAAGTTGTTTTTGTAGGTTGCCTAATCAGCAAGTTTACATCCATTATATTAAACCTTAATAATAGTCAGCGACATGCGAGGTCATGTAAACACCTTAAATGGTTGTTCTGCTATCAGGGAAAGGTCAGAAATGGTTTAATATTCTGCATACCATGTTTCTATACTACCTGACAGATTTCACTGAAATAGTGTCCTGAGAATCACACCTGTCTCTCTGAGTGACCACGTTAAATAAAAATCAAGTTGTTAATTGATAAAATTGGGCTGGGGTGTTATACACTTTTTATTTATTTATTTAGTTTACCCTTTTTCCTTTTTATTTTGTATTTTTGTATTTCTCTACTGGTATAATTTACTTCTACATACAATATACCATTTTTTGGGGGGTCAGTAAGAAGAAATTATTGATTTTATTCAGCAAGGATGCATTAAATTAATGTATCAAATTTCAATTAACAATATGTATCAAATTTTCAATTGTTTCAATAAAACAGTACAAAACATTCAAATAAATGCTGTTCTTTTCACCTTTATATTCATCAAAAAATCTTTTAAAACTATTTCCACAAAATATTAAGAAGCATGACTGTTTCCAACATTGATGATAATGATTTCTGAAGGATCATTTGACATGAAGACTGGAGTAATGATGCTGAAAATTCAGCTTTGCATCACAGGAATAAATTACATTTTAAAATGTATTCAAATAGAAAACCGTTATTTTAAATTGTAATAATATTTCTGATCAAATAAATTCAACCTTGGTGTGCATAAGAGTCTTTATTTTTTTTTGTATGGTAACATATTGTTTCTTACATAATTATTTATTTATTTATGTATTTAGTAATCAGTGTTGGGGAAAGTTACTTTTAAAAGTAATGCATTACAATATTGCGTTACTCCCTAAAAAAGTAACTAATTACGTTAGTTACTTTTTATGGAAAGTAATGCGTTATATTACTTTTGCGTTACTTTCGCGTTACTTTTTAAATATACGTAACTCGCATTACTTGTAATGAGTTACCCCCAACACTGTT